TCCATGATCAGCCTATCCTTCACGCCCCTACCCGGGAGTCCGTACGTCTCTTTGGGCGGGGAGGGGGGGTGGTGTTGGGGGATGAGGAGGGGGGCGTTTGAGGGGTCTGGGGGCGTGACTTTGCAGGGGTCTGAGGAGGGGGCTTTTCAGGGGTCTGGGGATGTGACGTTGGAGGGGTCTTCGTCTGGTGGTGGTGGGGATGAGGGTGTGGTGTTGAGGGATGAGAACGGGGGGTTGGCGCAGCTTCGAGGGATGGCGCAGGGGGGTGCGCTGGAGAGTGTTGGGAAGCAGGCGGTGGAGGAGAAGGGGGTTGAGGGTGCGGGTGAGGCTGGGGATGAGATGGACATCGATGCTATGTGAGAGGATGGCGGACGGGCAGTGCTCGATCTGGGTTTGTTGGTGAGAGGATGGGTTGTTCGAGCACGGTGGTTGGGTTCCAACTGGAGATTGTCCGGCTGGAGATTGTTGCAAGTGATGGTGGAGGGATACTAATAATGTTTAATGTGTAATATTAGGGGGGGAGAAGAACACACAGCGAGTCACTCTTTACCAGTAGATAGATAGCATAGTAGTAAAATAGCGAGTTTTTCTCACAAGTTCTTAATCCATGACTCTTGATTCTTATCCTAACTGACATTTATGGTGTCAACAGTTGAGTGTAGTGGCCTGGCAATAGGATCAGGGCACTCCCGCTAGCCATCATTCATTCTCCTTTGTGATGTCAATAGTTGAGTGCATCTTCTGACCTGGCGATATGATCGGGGGATCTCCGCGAGCCATCCTTCTCCTTCACGATGTCAACAGTTGAGTGTATGTTGTGGCCTGGCGATAGGTTCACCCCACCTCCGCTAGCCAACATTCATTCTCCTTCGCGATACCAATAGTTGTGTGCATGTCGTGACCTTGCGATGGGATCAGGGCACCTCCGCCAACCGGCCATCTTCCCCGGCTGCTAATGCGGTAGCCTGCACGAAATGACACTTTACGCGGCGTCCAGGGAGCTGGGATGCGATCATGATGTTGCCCAACATATTTAAATAGGGCACATCTCTCGCTGGGCACGTCTCTTTGCCCGTTGGGTCTTTTGGATGCTCTCATCCAACTGTGCTCTCTCTGTCGCACATATGTGTCGCCTCTGGTGATGAGGGGGGACAAGTGCAATCAAGTTGCAATTGCGTCGAGGGGAGATGGATACGAGAGGTTGATGGAAGTTTGGGGGAGCCTCAGGGGAAGTGTCAGCTGTGGTGTGGTACTGATTAGCGGATTGTTTGGTCTCGATGTTGGTTTTGTGAGTTGGCTTCTGGCTTCTTTTTGGCCTCTGATTTCACTGGAGCTGTGATGGGATGTGTGGCTGTGCTCGTTGAAGAAGACTCCCTCCTCTGTTTCCCCAACCTCAGGGGTGATCGCCGGGGTCCTTTCGCTGGGGGTAGTGGTTCGATGTTGCCGTCATTTTTCTCCGTCGTGTGCCCGTATGGCATTCCCACTGCTGGGGTGGCGGCTAATAGAGCTGGTTGGTGGCTGGATGGTACGTCGGCCAAGACTTCGACATTGCAGCTCATGGGTTTCGTACCGCCTACAAGTGCGCGCGGCCCGGGGGTGATTCGCCCACTGGATGCTCGGGTTCACGGGAAGGGAGCACCTCCTCGACTATAGCCAGGTACGTGAGTATGCTTCCGTAACCGTGGCCTTCTCACTTGTCGAGGTTGCGAGCCTTGATGAACCGGCTGATCTGCTCCTTGGTGTGCTTGTCGTTGTACTGCTCGTGGCACTCGTAAAACGAGATCAGCTCCTGGGTGCAGTCGACCATGGCTTCGATATCGATATTGCTGTCTGCGAGCCACGCCGCGAAGCGCTGCACCTTGGCCAGACGCGGGTCCGTCACCTTCTTCGGCTCCGCCGCCGCGCTGTCCCCCTGCAAACTCCCTTGTGAGTTTCCCTGGGAGAAGCCCGCTTGTTGCTGCGACCCCTGCGACCCGAACCCCGGCGTTCCTCCGCCTGCCCCAGCAGCGGCAATCGCCGCCGCCCGAGCCTGCACCTGTGCCTGTGCCTGCGCCAGCGCAGTTGCGGCCATGGCGACCCCTCCGGCCCCCGCAGCCGCAGCCGCCGCCGCCGCACCTGCATTCCCGCCCGCGCCCCCCGCAGCGGGAGTGTTCGCACTCGGCCTGAGCACCAGCGCCAGCAGCACGGCGGTCAGGGCGACCACGTGCGGCGGGTGCAGCAGCGGCAGGTCGGTCATGTAGTGGTCGTTGATGACGGTCCAGGCCAACGACATCTCGTCCTGGGTCAGGCCGAACTCGTCCTGCACGCCCAGCAGCGAGCGGTAGGGCTGGTGGACGATCAGGTTCGAGTGCATCTCCGAGATGAGCGAGAACTCGCACTCGCCCACGCGCGCCGGGTCGTGCCCGTGCAGGTCCGACGGCCACAGGGACCGGGCCTCCTGAGTCATCATCCGTATGTGCTGCGGACACTCCTCCATCTTGCAGGCGAGGTATAGCACGGTGGTGAGGACGAGGTAGGGATTGGTCTGGCGGATCGCGATGCGCGTGTAGAAGCGCTTGAGATAGACCTGGGCGGTGGCCATGACTTGTTGGCGGAGGCCGATCCGTTTGCTGAGGCGGTTTATCTCTGTGGAGGGGGGGTGCGTATGTTAGTGATGGGGTATGGATGGTGGGACGATAGTGGGATGATCAAATGAAAAGAACGCACGCTGGTTGAAGTAGATGTTGAGATGGCGCAGCTGCGGGAGGGGGAACATCTGAACAAGGCCGGGATCTTCATCGTCGAGTCGTTGGCGGATGGCGGCGAGGTCTTGTTTGGTGAATTGCCAGTGTTTCCGCTGCGTCGATTCCCAGTAATTGGCCGCCATCTGCGCTGCTTCGGCCTGTTAAAGGCCGTTGCCAGTGCCTGAGATTATTCGGATTCGGTGTCCATCTGGTTGAGAGAAGGAAAGAGGGCGAGCTCGGTGGTCGGTGGGAGGAGGTGGTCACCTTATCCGCAAGGCTGTGATGATTGGCGTCAATATCCCAGCAAGGCCCGGCGCATTCAATGCCATTTGTTCGGACTGGCGCGGGCGGGACCGATTGGCCATATCTGTGCTCGAATACACTCAGGTACCGTACTGTACCGTACCGCCCAAGATCAAACCGGGCTTGTTTGATGACGACGGTATCTGAGACATTGCGATCGAAGTGCTGAGAGAGGGCGCCGGCATGCGGCACTGACGAAGCCATGTTTTTGTGACTGCAGTGTAGCTTTCGAGGGTAATAACAGCACGGAAGATACGAAGGAGGTACTGGTTTCTCGGTATTCGGTACATACGGGGCACATCATCCTGGCTGCTCCGCTCCTTTTTTCTGCTTCCCCCCTGCGGGATCTGACATTCCCAAGAATTCCCGGCAGCAAGCAGCAAGCTGAAGCAACCAAGCAGCCTGGCGACCGACGCCATCCCGCGCAATTGGTCACCACCCGCCGAACTGTTTATCCTCACCCCTCTCCGAGGCTTTGCGATAGTGGAAAAAAAAGACTCACCCAACGTTCAACTCAGTGTTTGCTTGTTTCGGCATGTCTTGTCCCTAATCTCCACCCAACGAAGCCGACTTTTCCCTGAACCCCTCGAGCTTCGTATATCCTCTTTGGGAAGTCCCCGGAATTTCCCTCATACGTCATAAGCGCGCCGTTTGTTTAGCTGCGCACCTCGTCCCGCGCCGACGCCGACGCCGATCCCCGTGTATGCGTACCGCTAGCACCCCCGTTCCCGCCGCCGCCGCCGCTCCCGTGACGAAAACACCATCAATGGCCGGTGTTAGGGATGAGGGTATCTGATGTTGTCTCAGAGCTCGAAGTGAACATGGAGGAGCCGCAGAACCAGCGCGACCGGCGTGTCGAGGACCTCTGGAAGAAGCTCGACCCTGCGGGGCACGGAGAGCTCGACTTCAAGGGACTTCAGAAGGGGCTAAGACGAATCGACCACCGTATGATGCCCCCCCTCCCTAGAATTGGGAATTCACATGCTGATTTCGACTCCTGGGTCAGCCCTCAAGAATGCCGACCACATGCTGAAGGCCATCATTGGCCTTGTCGATACCAGCGGCGACGGGAAGATCCAGTATGAAGGTGGGTGTGGAACGAGGCGACGACACGAGGAACCGAGAAGAGCCGAGTTCAGGAACTGAGACTACGCACACTAGAATTCCGGGTTTTCGTCGAAGCCGCCGAGCGCCAGCTACTACTGCTGTTCCGGTCCATCGATCGCGATAAGGACGGCCGGTTGAACAAAAGCGAACTCCAGTCGGCCTTCAGCGCGCCGGCTTGTCGGTACCAAACAGGAGACTGTCCGGCTTCTTCAACGAGATCGACCTGAATCGCGATGGGTACATTACCTTTGACGAGTGGCGGTAAGTCTCGGTTGGCCCTTGTGCTGTTGGCCCCTTTTTGTTACTTCTCTGTCTGTGCCCCCCCAAGGCCGAATTTGTGACCCCACTTGGAGGTGGGCTTTTGTGTGTGTTTCTTTCCTTCCCTCCTTGTTTATGATACCCCTATCTATTCTTTTCGTATTGTATTCCCTTCTCTTCTGCTTTGCTGTGTTTTTTTTTTTTTTTGGTGAAAGTGTATCCAAATCGTGGCAGAGCGAGAGTGTTGGTGAAACGCGGTGCATGGCGGCTCAGATGCTGACCCGCAACTTTCTAGCGACTTTCTGCTGTTCATGCCCAGCAATCACGACGGGTCGCCATTGGAGGCTGCGCTCTCGTTTTATTCTTCTATTGTTATGGTGAATCCAGAGGGCGATTCACTAGTCAGCGATGATACACTGGAGGGCTTAGGTACGGTCGGCTTCCTTCTTCAAACTCTTTTTGGTTCGCTCCTCAGACTTGCCAACCCGGACCTGGCTCTCTCCCCGCGGCGCCCCGCCGATGCAGGCAGGATCTTCGATTCGCAGCCGCCCGAGTTCCCTTACGCCGAGCAAATCTCGAGCTTACCGACAGAAATGGCGGCCTCTGCTGCAACCATCCGCTACGGCCCTGTCGTCGCCGTCACCCCGCAAGTCTTGACCGACGCGGCAGTCAAGCGACCCATCCTGCAGTACGAGGGTGCGCAGCAGTCTGGCGCCCAGGACATTGCAGAGGTTATCGAGGAGGATGCGGAGGACGTTACATCCAGGCTGACAGATCTGCTGCCTGAACCAGGATATTTCCTCGCCGGTGCCGTTTCGGGTGGTGTCTCGCGGACTGCTACGGCGCCGCTGGACCGTTTGAAGGTCTACCTCCTCGTCAACACAAATACGAAAGCCAATATCGCCGCGGCTGCTGCGAAGCAGGGCCGCCCGCTTGCGGCCCTGCGCAGCGCCGGTGGGCCCATCATCGACGCCGTGGTCAGCCTCTGGAAGGCTGGTGGGATGAAAACCTTCTTTGCGGGTAAGAGATATGTGAAACCCGCTCTCACCTCTATGGCGCTAATTCGCTGCAGGGAACGGTCTCAACGTCGTCAAGATCATGCCAGAGTCTGCCATCAGGGTAATTGACCCCTTGCGAATCTCAAAACTCCATGCTAACAGTCGATTAGTTTGGCTCATACGAAGCGTCCAAACGCTTCCTCGCAGCATACGAGGGCCACAACGATCCAACCCAAATCAGCACCGTCTCGAAATTTGTTGCCGGTGGCATCGGCGGCATGACGGCTCAGTTCTGCGTGTACCCGATCGACACACTCAAGTTCCGACTACAGTGTGAGACTGTCCAGGGTGGACCGCAGGGCAACGCCCTACTACTCCGCACCGCAAAGAACATGTGGGCAGACGGTGGTTTGCGCTCAGCATACCGCGGCCTTGGCGCCGGCTTGGTCGGCATGTTCCCCTACAGCGCCATCGACATCGGCACCTTTGAGATGCTCAAGAAGTCCTATACACGAGCCGTGGCGCGATACTACGGCATCCATGAAGACGACGCGCAGATAGGAAATGTCGCAACCGCGGTTCTGGGCGCATCATCAGGCGCGCTGGGTGCGACCATCGTCTACCCGCTCAACGTCCTTCGGACCCGATTGCAGACCCAAGGCACCGCCATGCACCCACCCACATACACGGGTATCGTCGATGTGGCAACCAAGACCTTCCGTAACGAAGGAGTGCGCGGGCTATACAAGGGCTTGACACCCAATCTCCTCAAAGTCGCCCCCGCCCTGAGCATTACTTGGGTGTGCTACGAGAATATGAAGAGCATTCTCAGTCTCAACTAAGGGCCCGAAGACACGGGGAGGATTGGTTATTTGAGGCAAGCGTTGCTATCAGCCGGCAACTTGGTAGCGAGTTTCTCGCAGCATTGGGAAGGGATCATGAAAAAAAAAAAGGAGAGAGGCCATCTTTGTCGGCGTTTAAGGAATTGGGGGCTGCTTGGGCCGTTGCACTTTGCATTTCGACATTTCTTGAAAGCCACATGGCCACGGCGTTTGGGGTGGTAGGAAGATACCAGCTAGAGAGGTCATCAAGAGCCTGCGAGCAGCCTTGGATCGCACACCATAGCAGGGGTCATAGACGACAACGACCTGGACGACGACTAGACACCGGCTACTAGGGCCGAATATGGCAATTCGTTTTTTTTTCCCTCATGGCGGCAGTCCAGAAAATCGATCATGGCATCCTGCCTCGTCATGTCTTGCGTTTCCCGGGTCCCCTTGTGCGGCAACTGGCATGGTGATAAGGCAGTTTCGTAAGCAAGTGAAAGAAGAGGGGCGAACTGCATCCGCAATTGGGACTTGTGAGTGGATGCAGTCCGAGATTGTCGAGAGATAGTCTCCCAACCGTGCCAACCTCTTCCCCAACTCCAGCTCTGTTCGGGTAAGGCGTGATATGCTGCGTCATCCGACAAGATCCCCCGCACTCGCCCTGCAGGATGCTTCGCAGCTTCCTGTTCCGGTAATGGCTCAGTCGCCCTCGACCTCTCTTTCTCTTCCAGGATGAAAGTTTTTTGCGCAAGCGATTCACGCTCTCTGGTTCCAGGGAGTTCTTGGCCCTGTTCTAGGGCCAATCCATGTGGTTACCCCCGTCACATCTGCCCACACGCTGACGAAGCCATTAATGACACCAAAACGCAGGCCGCGAGACCAGGTACACAGTCGGCCCCCTCACCGTAGCAATTGTTGTCTTCCCCACCGGCTAGCGTGAATCGTAAAGCATCCATCCGTCATAGATTTCTTCCTTTCTTTCGTGAATTTCATACACGGTCCTCGCCTTCCTGACCCAGTAGTTGTATCTCATCTTCAATCAAGTGGCGGTACCACTCCAACCTTTCAGATCTCGAGTGCTGTTATTCAGTGTTTCATTGGTCTACTCTCAAAGTGTTGACTGTAAAGTTAGAGGTCGAAAGAAGCTTTTTTTGTACTGTCTCATTGTTGTCTTGGCTTTCTCTCGCGTCGTCTCCCGATTGACTCGGGCCGGAAGTCATGCCGTACTCAGACAATATGTACTCGACGCTGGACGAGGAGGATTTCGAACCAATTGGTGAAACTTCAACTCAAGATGGATCTCAGGGGCCGAGTCGGGCTCCCCAGGACGCGTGGTTAAACACCAACACCACCAGGGCGGGTACGCATGCAGACCGTCATGCCGGCGACAGCGAGGATCCACATCTCTTCTCGCCTACTGATGGCTACTTCGGCACGGCGACCGGTTCTTCCCTCGGGACGGTGGTTCCGGCCTCATCCCAGGTACCACATGTGCCCAACGTTTTGGTCGATGACCCGTCTTTACAACGGAGGAGCTCTGAGGGCAAGGACAGGGAGGCGGAACAGGAGAGACTAGACAATGCCCAAGGTGGCTCGCACCCAGACGATGGATACAGGTCGGCCTATCCGTCTTACACGGCGACAGCGTCCCGAAACGGTGGCCCGACCGGATACACCACAACGCCTACCCGGCAGAGTACGGCCGCTAGCTCCTCGCAGTCCGGGGCCACGCACTACACACCGTCATCGTCTACCTACGCCCCTCGCGTTGCATCGCCAACGTCATATACAATTTACTCGCCACGGGGTCCCGTGCGTCGCGACGAGCACTTCCCCTTTACACCGGCGGAGGCACCTCCCGCCTATACACCATCTCCTACCTCACCATCCAATACACAGGGTTTTGGTAATTACCAGACTTTCTCACAAGCTCGAGCCGTGGATGTCAACATGGGACGCCCAGAAGAAACCCAAGGCTTTTTGGCCCAGCCCGAGAGTATGCGGGACCACAACTCGGACGGCCTTGACGAAGATATTCCCACTTGGAGAGGCCGCATGCGCAGAGCCAGGCGGCATGTCAACTTGGGATGCTGCAAAATCGTGCTGATCGCCGTGGTCCTACTTTTCCTGACAACGGGATTCCTCACTGGCGTCATCAGTAGTAGTACGAGGGGCAATGTAAGTGTTACGCGTCCTCGCCAATTCAGTATTGGAGACATGCATTGTTGCATTTCTTTGTCGTCCTGAACCTATTGTTGTGGTGTCATCTCCTTATACTATATATATTTGCCCTCCTCAACCCATCAACAACTCGTCATCATCCTCCGCTAACCATCAGCATAGACTGGCCGCCAGCCCCCTACCGTCGACAAACCCGGGAAACAAACCCAACAAACCCAACATGAACTACCCCGATCTAGATGGCGATGTCCGTTGGGACCCCGCCCACTTCTGCCAGGACGCCAAGATCGACCGCCACAAGCAAACATACGGCATCGACTTCGGCACCAGCAAGGACCTCCGCATAGTCGAAAAGTCCAACGGCGACGACCACCCCGGCTGGAACTGGGTCCACGTACAAGGCACGGTCGTCCTCCGCCGCGCCGGCCCAGACACCGAGAGCTCCGCCGTGACGGTCGAAACCACTCGTGCACCGACGACCGCCTCCGGGTCTACTGCTCCTGGGACGTCCGAGGCGGGCTCCCTCGACAGTGTATCGTCCCGCGGCGCGTCGCAATGGGCGCGGGATGCGGCCCCGCGCGTGGCGGTCAACTTCAAGATCACCGTCGGGGTGCCCGAGGGCAGCACCCTGCGCCACCTCACCGCCGTACGTCGAGCACCTCGACATCAAGCTCCTCAACAACCTCTCCCTGTCCATCCGCGACGGCGCCCAAGCTCACCAGCGTCGCCGGGACCATCACCTCCGCCTCGACCGGCTCCACCTCCCACGACAACAACAACCTCCTCGACGAAACCGTCTCTCACCCCCCGCCCACCTACCTCTTCCACTCGCGCATCATCGACGTGCGCACCACCTCGGCCCCCATCAACGGCGCCTGGCCGCTGTACGACTACCTGTCGCTGCAGTCCACGTCGGGCGACATCCGCGTGGCGGTCAACCCGCACGCCGCCGACCCCGACACCCCCAAGCCCGCGACGCTGTACATCAAGTCGCTGTCGGGGGACGTCGACTTCCGCGAGCCGATCCACGCGGCCGAGGGCACGTTCCGCATCGGGCAGGCGCTGAGCGCGGCGGCCGACCGGCGGCGCGCGCTGGCACAGGCCGAGGCCCAGCTGCCGCCGCGCGAGTACCGCGTGGATGTGCACACGAGCAGTGGGGATATCGTGGGTGCGGCGGCGTTTGGTGCGGCGTCCGGGTTCCGGTCGACGTCCGGGACGATTAGTCTGGAGGTGTTGCCGGTGTTGGATGCGAGGCTGGCGGAGGTGGGGGGCAGGCAGGTGGAGCTGACGACGTCGAGCACCAGCGGGGCGACGGATGTGAAGGTGTTGGAGCCGTTGTGGGTGGATGACCTGGACTTGGCCAGCGCCCGGGTTCATGGGAAGGGGGTGAGGCGGGGGTATGCCGGGATGGAGACGCAGGATGTGGCTGCCACTGGCGGTGGGAAGGAGAAGCCGCTGCGGTGCTTGTCCGGCAAGCACACGAGCACGTCCGCCAACATTAAGTTGAGATATCCGGCGAGCTGGGAAGGTGATATCGGTCTGGCAACGCTCACGGGGGCGCTCCAGGTAGGCGGGGAGGGGGTGAAGCTGATCAAGACCGGGAGCGATTGGCCCGGGGTGAACAAGATGGTGCTGGCGAGGAAGGGTGAGAAAGGGGAAGGGGGGAAAGTGCAGGGGAAGACTACCAGTGGAGATGTGGATACTTGGGTTGGCGAGGAGTGAGCTGACTGATGGTTGATTGATATACATGGAGCCTGGTTGGATACGAATCATCGAGAGATGTTTGCTTTGCAGCGGGAAGATGCCGGTGATTTGAGTTATGGAGATATTTGCTTTTGAATGGAAATATGCACAAGGGCTTCAGCCATCGAGGCATTTCGTTTGCAATGGGACATGGCGACGACTTGGTTTGCAATAGCGGGTATCGTGAGAAAGCTGGAATGGATTTCATGTTTATTACCGAACCAATGCCATTTTCCGTGCGCCCCGCATCTATGATCTCGGCTTCTCCTTCTTCTCCTTCCAGAGAGCAAGAAGACCGACACCAGAAACCTTAACAACTGGGATATGTTAGTGACAAAGATGATTTTCTTGGACAGAAGTGACCAACCCTTGAACCGCACACCAGGAATATCACCCTTCGCCTTGCCCTTGCGACCGAAACCAGCGAGGAGGACTTCGTCGTTCTCGTCGACGAAGTTCAAGCAACCATCGTTAGGCACTGTGTAACCGTTAGCGCCCGCGTTTTATGACTAGAATCCGTGGCTTTTGGGCCTCGTCCTCGTTTCGTGGATTCCGGGATTCGTACCGAAAGCAGTGACCTTCTTGCCGTTCTTGATGAGCTGGACCCTCACGCACTTGCGAATAGCCTGTACCACCGCCAGTTAGCCATCGTGCCGCTCGAGACTCGAATTCGACAAATTCGTCGGGGGAGTTGACGTACGGAGTTGGGCTGCTTGGCTTCGACGCCGACCTTCTCGAGAACAATGCCCTTGGCGTGGGACGAACCACCGAAGGGGCTGGGTCCATGTTAGTCGAAATCGCTCTGGTTTTCGAGTCATTCATCGACCGTTGCGCACCTGGACTTGAAAGCAGTGCCGAGAGCACGCTTCTTGTACGCAAGATCCGCCCACCGCTGCTCACGGCGGTTGTTGCGCAGCTTGCGGGCCGCGTTGAGACCACGAGGCTTTCCACCGGACATTTTGGCTGCGGGTTCGGAATGTTAGGAGTTGCAATCAAGAGGCAGTGACGTCGAGATAGATCGTGATGACCGTCGTGCTGGAATGTTACGTACCGATTTGTTGATGATCGCGGGCTCTAGGTTGCCGTTCGTGATCTGGAAAGTTCGCTTCGCGGGTACCGAATTTTTGGCGGGCAGCGAGTTTCGCAGTAGGGCGAGAAAACCCTAGCCTCTCAATTGGGTAAAAGGTCTGTGCCGAGCCACAGCCCCACCAGCGTGGCGGTCTCCGAGCCAAGGTTGGCCAGTGCACGAGGATCGCCGACACAGTGGTTGAATTACGCTTTTTCAACCACATACACTGTGTAGCAAGAGGTTACTCGTGAGAATCAACAAACAGTGACGAGTCACATCAACCGTTTCAAGACGGCCATCTAGTAACTATTTTCACTCGCGTAACGAGTTGACGGCCACAACATACACTCCCAGCCAACCAAAAAATGTAGCAGCCATGTCTCACCTCTCCAAAGGCAAACAAAATGCCCACGACCCCCCGCCAATCCACCTCTCACCCTCCCATGCCTCCCCCGCCGGCCCATCATCATCATCAGCAGGGGGCCACGCACCCCCCGTCCACATCAGCATTCATCACCCCCCTAACCTCCCCCGCCACCGGGTCAGGGGCGGGTCTTCCCAACTTCCCCTCCCAAGCCGCACCCTCGCACCTCACCGCCAACGGCCTGAACATCAGCCTCCCGGTGCCCGTCCCCTCTCTCCGCAGCCGAGAATCCACCCGCGCGACGGACCGCACCGACGCGCTCTGGGCCGAGATGCAAGCCACGCTGGAGGCGGTGGAACTGACGGCCGGGGGAAGTAGTGGCGGTGGTGGTGGTGGTAGCGACACAGCGCGTACGAGCACCGCGCGGGTTTTCAGCCCGGATCACGAGCGCAAGCTGGACGAGCTGCGGGCGGCACAGATTGCGTTGGCGCAGGCGTGGGCGCGGAGCGAGGCCGACGAGGCGATTGAGACGACTGCTGCTGCCGGTGCGGGTGCTGCTGGGGAGGGCACGGTGGGCGGTATGTCGGAGGGGAGGAGTGTGGTCACGGCTGGGACGGGGAGTGCGAGGCCTGGGAGTAGTGGGCTGGGGATGGGTGGTGCTGGTGGTGGTGGGCAGGAGAGGTTGGGGGGGGAAGAAGGTGGAGGAGGAGACTGAGGTGGATATCTTGCTTGCGAGGAAGAGGAGGGAAGCGAATGATCGGTATTTCCAGAGGGTTAATCAGGGAGTGCTTGATGTGGTTTCCAAGCTGGAGGAGGTAGCCATTGCTATGCGGGCAGTTGAGCAGGAGAGCAAGGAGCTCTGGGGGGATGATAATGAGAGCATCACAGGAAGCGCGAAGACTTGACTAGGTAGAGGGGATTTCACGATTATATTGGGATTGACGGGCGGCGTGGCTATCACTTTGGCGTCTTATGGCTTTTGGTAAACTTATTGGAAGGTCTGAGCATTGTTCCGGTGTCGGGCTGAAACATGGGGGCATTATCGGTTTATAAAATTATAACTAGGTATCCATGGTTGATGTTTCTATGTAGCAGTGTATCTGCTCGCAATGCTTGATGTTAAGCCTGGGTGTGTTTAAGCTCGCGGATCAAGGGATGAAATCTTGGCATCGGAAAATCAACTGGGGGGCACGCGGGGGCTTCCTGGAAGAAAAGTTTGGACCCGTGGGCTTCCCCACTTCCATACATACATCGTACACCGACACAACACCGGACGGTCAGGGCAAAAGAAATCGATGTCGAAGAGGTGGCATGCTTCAGTACCTATTCTGAGAACCGAACCAAAGCAGCTGCGCTGGGGTTTTGCCGGTCTCAGGAGAATCCTCTCAGCCTGCCACATGCCCATGGTGGGGTCTTGTGAACATCCACCCCGCTTCCATGCCCATTCATCCGGTTGGCCGTTTCGGCTCGCTGGAGCTTTTTGATTCGCAGCATAAGCTCATCCGAAGGTGCCTCGGCGAACGGGAAGCGTACAGACGACCTGCGGCTGCAACTGCAACATCATGCGGAGCTTGTGTTGATGAGCCTGGAAGGAAGCGAAGGAGGGTAGCAGGACCTGTTGCTGTAGTGACTTGGCCAGCATCATGCAGGATTCATAATATGAGATAATAGTACGAAGAAAAGAAAGAATCCATGATGTTTTAACTGACGAATACTATCACAATACCATTGTTGAAGACTGGCGGTCTTACCGTTCTAGGCTGCATAGGAACTGAGTGAGACCTGAACGACAGGCTAACTAGCGCAAGTCGCAACCGGTTCCCTGCACCGCACCCGGACCCGGGCAAGCTCCCCCTGCGCGCCACCCGCCTTACGCCGATTCGGGCTAAAAAATCGCCTGCCCGTGCCAGCCAAGTACACGAATACAGGCGATCCCATCAAAATTTGAGGTGCCAACTCTCCAACTATCTCACAACTCAACCTCTGCTTCCCAACCGACGTGTGGCCAATTGCGCTCAACGCCCCCTCCTATCTCCTCCCCCGTCTCCTGCGAATTCGCGTTTCGCCCGGTTTCCTTTTCCCTCACCGAACGACATCCAGCCGATACCGGACAAGATGGGATACCTCGACGACGAAGTTAAGCGCCTTCAGGGCATCATCTCCAACATCGAGGGCCGGGTGCAGGCCCTGGAGAGCAGGCAACTGGGCGGTAACCAGAAGAAGACGGCGGAGGAGATTCGCATGATCCTCATCGGCCCTCCCGGCGCTGGTATGTGACGCTGTCGACCGGAAACGACGGTTGCCCAAAACTCGCAAATTGGCGCACTCACACGGCACAGGCAAGGGGACACAAGCACCCAAGATCAAGGAGAAGTTCAACTGCTGCCACTTGGTAAGCCAATTGGGTTTTGTATGAACCATATAACGTGCTTCCATTGCTAATTTTGCCTTCTTTGGCGGCACCCAGGCGACCGGTGACATGTTGCGCTCGCAAGTCGCCAAGAAGACGACTCTCGGCCGGGAAGCTAAGAAGATCATGGATGCGGGCGGCCTTGTCAGCGACGACATCGTCATTGGCATGATTAAGGAGGAGCTTGATAACAACAAGGAGTGCAAGGGCGGGTATGTGGAACTGATTCGCTGGCAGACAAGCCCGCGTTATGTGTGCTAACACGTGTCCCGTCCCGCAGCTTCATTCTCGACGGCTTCCCCCGCACTGTCCCCCAGGCCGAGGGCCTTGACAAGATGCTGCGCGAGCGCAGCCAGTCGCTGCAGCATGCCGTGGAGCTCAAGATCGATGACCAGCTCCTGGTCTCCCGCATCACCGGCCGCCTGGTCCACCCCGCCAGCGGACGCAGCTACCACACCACCTTCAACCCGCCCAAGGTGCACATGACGGACGACATCACTGGCGAGCCGCTCATCCAGCGCAGCGACGACAATGCCGAGGCCCTGAAGAAGCGCCTTGCCACCTACCACAAGCAGACCGCCCCGGTCGTCGACTACTACAGGAAGACGGGTATCTGGCAAGCCATTGATGCTGCCCAGGCCCCCGGCCAGGTCTGGAAGAGCCTTCAGGCCATCTTCGACGGCGACAAGGCCAAGGCCAAGAAGGCTGGCAGCGGCCTCCTGAGCAAGCTCACGCCCAGCTCGTAGATGAGCGGCGCGGGTGCGGGCCGGATCGTTGCATGGAGTGAAACCGAGATAGGGCGGGCGGGCAAGAGCCTGAAGTGGTGGGAGCTCGACATGCTGTTCTAGTTTGGCCGCGTTTGATGGAGCATCAGATTAGACTCGCGAACATTGTCTACGCCTGCCTGCCGTTGGGCCCGGAAAGGAGGGAACGGATTCCATAAACTTATGACTTCGTCGCTTAACGCCATCCGATTGACGGACTTCTGGGGTGTCATTGGAAGGAGTTACGGAAAACCGGCTGATACCCAGCGCTGGGCGTGGCGGATCTCGGACAGAACCCGCCGCGCATGGCGAGGTTTGCGTGATAGAAGCCTGTACTTACATTGTAGAAATGCTATAACCTGCTTACACCTGGTTTCAACAACTATGTTACATAAGGATATGGAAATATCCCAGAGATAAAGTCACACCCTTTCTCCCCGACTCAAATCCATGGTGAACTAAGCATATCCCGTCCCTCCTTCACCCTCTACGAGCCTCCCTAGGCGGGTCAAACTTAGGTTATGTATTAAACTCACTTCATGAAGGAACAGGCTCAAAACCACAGGGCAATGTTCTATTCAAGGGGTATATCTAAGAAGAATGTACGGCCACGGAAACTCGATACCTGGCTGCAGCTACCGGCCATGGCAAAGCCTGGAAAGCTCACCGCCATCATCCCCAAAACTCTGTCTCCTCCTCTTGTATAAAAAAAAGGGTATTCCGGATGCAAACCAACCCCTGTCTAGCCCACAGCCACCACAAGGTTAGACTACGTCTATAACCCGTCACCGTCCAAATGAAAATAAACAAGGAATAAAGTAAGGCGACCTCACAACGACACCGATACCGACGGTGACGACAACGGCTCAGGCTCGGACTCCCGCTCTGACGGCACGGCGCCGCCACCGTTCTCAACCACGCAACAAACAAGCCACGCCCACGCTATGCTCAACAAAGACCAGAACAGGCCGCCGACGGTGCAGCGGTCGGGCCACGAGAAGGAAAAGCAGACGACGAAGAGGGACCCGCGCCGAAGACGAATCAGCTGCTAACACTCCCGGAGCCACTACCTCCTCGGCGTAGCTACACACACAGACGGTTAATATCATTAAATCCGTAACAGCAAAAGGGGGGACTGGGGAAAGGGGGGGTTGGCAAACTCACCATTCACCATCTGCCGCTGCTTGTTTAGCCAGCTCCGAGGCGCGTCGTGCCGGCGCTGCAGCACCACGTGGTTGCTCTGCAGGCGGCTGGTGAGGTCGTACCAGGCGGTGGTGATCATGGCGTTTTCGCGCTGCAGGTTGTTGATGAATTGCTCGGTCGCGGCCTTTGGAAAAAGTTAGATTGTGACCTCACCGTACTGAGAGACAGTGGCACACGAAGAGGGTTTGCCATGGGAGACAATCGCATGCGAACAAAGCGGATGTATGGTGGTCGGAAGTTTCTAGAAAATAAATAATAAATAATATTAGAAGTAAAAAACATACCTTGTGAGCGGCGAATGCGCCGCCATTTTCTGCGAGCTTGAGCCGTCGTTGAAGATCATACTTTTCTTGCTCTGACTTTTCGAGTTGCTATTTTGACAACCTTATTAGCAGCCAGAACTCATATGCAGCATGGTCCCGATCCAAAGACCAAAGCCTCCACTGGAACATGTCCGGTGGGATAGTGGTAGACAGGGCCGGATAGCTAGAATGCCCTGGCGCGTAAAAGGCTCGTAATCCACCCCTTCCATCTCTGTTGTGTCTTTTGCCCCTCAGGCTTCAGGGGCACCGCTCGTACTTGCGGCGACACCCCCTTTTTCGAATATTCCACCCCCAAAAAGGAAGCCATATAAGGCGAATCAAGCCTCGGGGACATGTCAAGACTCACCTCCATCTTCTGCTTGAGCGCAGTCTTCAGTTTCTCGATCTTTTCGGCATCTTCCTTTCTGCCCTTGGCCTGGACAGCGGACTCCTCCTGCGAGGTGGTAGGCTGGTCAGCGGCGGCAGAAGACGCCAGTGCGTCGTCCAGCCTCTTTTGGACTTTGTCCTTGGATAACAGGGCACCCATGAGTTGATCCTTCATCTGTTCATGCTCAAAGTCGCGCTGCGCAAGCTGCTTGCGTGTAGCCTCAAGCTCGGTGCGCAGCGACTCCGAGATGAGCTCGTCGGAAGACTTAAGGGTGGCTAGCGCCGTGGTTTGCTCCTCTCCGATCGCGTCGACTGTGGGGAGGGAAAAGTCCAGGTTAGCAAAGTATTCACGATTGGAAGTATTCCCGTCCAAGTATTCACGTAACATACGGTCAGTCTTTAGGCGGAGCAGCTCGCGCCCGCGGTCAGCGGCCTCGCGCTCTAGCTCCTGTGTACGCTTGCGGACAGTTTCGAGGTCACGCGTGGTATCGAGCAGGTTCCGGCGGATATTGACGAAAGCGACGTCCCTGAAGTAGCTCGGCATTAGTAAATGAAGGTTGGGATTCACAGCCAGGGCGGCGTCGACGCCGAGAACTGACCCTTCACCGGTGGCGTGCTCGATCAAAGCATTGATTTGCTCTTGAGCAACGGCCTGCTTCTCCATAGCCTCCGTGCACTGAATGCGGTAGTGGTCCACCTTTTGGTTGGCACTGTCGAGCTCGCTACGGAGTTTTTCGTTCTCCGAGGCCACGGCCATGTTGTTACGCAGGAGACTATTTTCGGCTTTGAGGCGCTGGAGTTCGAGGCGAAGGGCAACGGACGGATCAGAGGTGGTCTCGAGTTCTTGCTCGAGGCTAAACATTGTAGTCGAGGCGCCTGGGCTTTCGGAACCAGGTTGGGGCACATCGCCAAGCTGGAGTTGCTCCTGGAGCTCCCTGATTGTGTTCTCATCGAGTTGTCGCTTCGAATCCAGATACTCGACTCTTCTCTTAAGCTCCTCGTTGGCATCTTGGAGGACATTCTTGGACTGAAGCGTGTAGATGATCTCTTGCTCGTTGGTGGTCAAGACCCTGACCTTCTCCTCGATCTCCTTTTGGAGCTTCCGGTTCTGGGCCTTCACGTCGTCAAAGTTCCGGAGGTCTTGCTCCAGCTGTAGGATCTGTTCGTCCAAAACCCGGTTCCTTTGCTGGATGACGGTCAGGTCCTGGGCCTTCTTCTTGTAGTTTTCCAGCCCCTTGATCAACTGCTGCTGCTGTCTTGTCTCATGCTCGAGCACGGTGACCTTGTCCTCGAGGTCTTTTAGCCGCTCGGACTTTGCGCGTAGAGTTTCGTTCTCCTTCTCATATCTCGTTGACCGCACGGTCTCCTTTTCCAACAGGTCCTCCAGCCGGTCAATCTCGGTCATCTTGTCACGGATTTCGCTCCGTAGATCCTTGATAGCAGACGTCACGTCGGAGCCCCTAGCTCTTTTTAGGGTCGTAAGTTCATCTTGTGCGAGTCTGAGGTCCCTCAGCATGGCCTCGCGGGTGTCGAGGAGCTTGTCTAGACGGGATTGCAGATCGGCGTTTTGCTTTTTGAGAGTATCGACCTTGCCCTTCATCTGACCCAGCTCCTCGGCCATCAAGTCCGGGTCTCTATAAGCATGGATGCCCACGTCCGTATCTACGTTATCGACCTGTGGCTCCTCCGCCTTTCCCTCTCGGTCCGAGCGCAGGTCGGTCTTCTGGTTGATGATCTTTGCGATTTCGCCCTGCGTTTGACCATCGAGTGTGAGGATATTGGGGACGTATGTCCTCGAGAGCGAGCCCATGCAGGCGGCCGTGAGGAAGGCGGAGAGAAACTCGCAAAGCGCATTGTCGGTCGGGTTCTCGGCGATGGCGCGGAACTCGGAGGGCGATGGGGCGAGCAGCGGGTTATCGGTACGAAGGAAACGTGCTAGGCCACGATAAACGGTCTCAAGATTTTGGCGGTTGTCGTGATCAGACTGCGGAGTGAGGATGAGGCTAGCGGCGTGGAACTCGGGGGCCAGCATCTGCTCGAGGATGTAACCGAGGATGATGCCGTCTCGTAGGTCCTGCAACGTCTCGGCCTTGTGCCGAGTCTCGAAGGTGTTGGCCCATTTCAGGAGGGCCGCCTGGGTGAGGGGGCTGTACTGTGTCATGGTCGAGTGTATGGCGGTGACAAAATGTGGTACTTGGGAGCTTGTGAATGCCAATCTAGGAAGCAAGACAGGAGAGACCCTTTCGGGCGTTATCTCGAGGGCAACGACGGGTCGGTTATTATTGGGAAACACCCATTGCGCGGCGCTATAAAACACACAAAGGGCCACAGAAACTGTGCTGGAAATCTTGCCTCAGTCTGGATTCCCGTGTTTCATCATCGCGCTGTGTCGTGTTTCCTGTGAAAGGCATTGTTCAGGTCGGTTTTCAGCGACTCTGGGGCATTTGGCAGGGTTCCACCCTGCGCCCAGGGCGATCCTTGGAAGGGAGCTGTGGCCTTGTCGATTGGCTCGGGGGGAGAAACAGGGGCTTGGTCGCAGGACGCCTCCATGCATAAACCAGAGCCGCGTTCATGGAACTGTTCCACGGGATATTAGTGTAGTTCGTTAGATTAGTTACGGGTCTACCCCTCGTCCAGGTTTTCTCTGCAAAATATCTTTGTTTTATGTTTGGTGGAAAAACACCAAAGTTGAACAACCTACGCTCCAAGTGCCTTACCTAGGTAGTTGACCGACTCAAATTAACCTTTGGAGATCGGGCGGAATGCCATCACTGGCCTTCTTTCTAGTCATCTCAGCGGCGTTGCGAAACTTGACAGTAAACGCAGCTTGCTGCTCGGTATCTCATGTAATCTGCAATAAATCCAACAATTCGCAGTTGTTGCCACACTTCCGACGCGCTGCTCAAGGAACCTTCCCATAACGCCTAAGAAACTCCCTATCCCTCTTCCAGTCGCCAACAAACGCTAAATTCCACGCATCATCTGGCTTCGTAGAGTGCGTCGTGGCTCGTTATCGCGTGATCGTCTCCCGCTGTGGTCTTAGAAAGAATTCCCCCCTCAAAGACCGACACCACCGCCACCCATTTGGTGAACCTCCTGATCCTCCTCAACCAGCACTTGGTAGTCCTTTCCCCATGCCGAAACCGAGCCGAGTACTTTCTCGCCAACCTTTGCCGCAAACCCCCTACTTTAGTTAGTATGCAGTGTCACGAAATAACAGGCGTATGATAGGTTTCATGAGATGTTGCCGTGAACCTACTTGATTAGGGTGTACTCGTGGGTGATGATTCCGCCAGCGTCCACTACAGCTTGCTTGGCCTGTGCCACAACCGAGTCGGGGGTCTCGGGCGGATAGGTGACGAGAACTGATTTCTGGATGTCGACGGCGATGGCACCAGAGACCAGTGTGAGACCGGCGATAAGGAACGAGAACGGCCTCATGATTGCGATTTGGTGGGTCTCTGTACCGCTAATTTACCGCTTCCTGTAAATGGGTTGAGAGTCGCGGAAGTCGCAGTTATATTCCACTTTCGCAAAAAGTTGATGTTCGGGAAAAGCGATGACGCCGATTTGCAGTTGGTAAATAATGTTGTTAGGTGGCAAGGGGATCGACCCTGGATCGACTTGCGACAGGAGCGGCCCCTCGTTTTACATGTATTCAAGGGCTCGCATTGCCGCGTAATGACAGCAGGAGCGTGACGAAACAGGCAGCTGGGTAAGGCCCACCTTGGCTTAGGTAACCTGCCTGTTCAAGAAGGTCAAAGCTTCTTTCAATCTTTCCACCCATGTTGGCCCAAGCGCTCCCGCCCCTCCAGCCTTGTGCTCCCAACACCTTGACAGTCTTGAACTAGCCTGATTAGGGAGTGACCTTGAACTGGCGAGGCAGCGAACTGCGTGACGACGACTGACACAAGCAACACCAACGAAAAATAGACAACCTCAAACCCGCGATTCCGAGCCCCGGCCCACGACCACACATCAACATAGAAACGCCGACTCTTCATTTTCCTACCATATCCTCGTCATGCCAGCCACAACCGCAGAGACGCTGTCGCTAGTGACGCGCAACGTCTCAGTTGCCCCGCTAGTGCTACTCTCCGTCGTCGACCACTACAACCGCACAGAAGCCTTCAAGAGCAAAACCAAGCGGGTCGTGGGTGTGCTGTTAGGACAGAACGATGGCAAGAATGTGCGAGTGTCAAACAGTTTTGCGGGTAAGCATATGCCGTCGAACAGGCGCCCCAACGGTGATGTTTGCTGACCAGATACTGCAGTTCCCTTCGAGGAGGACGACAAGGATCCCTCAGTCTGGTTCCTAGATCATAATTACGTCGAATCCATGAACGAAATGTTCAAGAAAGTCAATGCGCGCGAGAAACTAATAGGGTGGTACCACTCGGGTCCCAAGCTACGGGCCTCTGATCTCGAGATCAACGAGCTCTTCAAGCGCTACACGCCCAACCCGCTTTTGGTCATCATTGACGTTCAACCGAAGGAGTCTGGCGTTCCCACAGATGCGTATTTTGCGGTGGAGGAGATTAAGGATGTGGGTGCTTTCCAGAATCCATGCTTAAGAGGTTGCTAACTGAGCTTGTACAGGACGGAACCACCACATCCAAGACTTTCGTGCACACACCGACAATTATCGAGGCCGAGGAAGCCGAAGAAATTGGTGTCGAGCACCTCCTGCGCGACATCCGAGACGTAGCGGTCGGCACTCTTTCCACGCGTGTCACCAACCAGCTCCAGTCACTCCAAGGCCTTCACCTTCGCCTGCGCGACATCCAAGCATACCTGCAGAAAGTTCTCGACGGACAGCTCCCGGTCAACCACGCAATTCTGGGGAATCTCCAGGACGTCTTCAACCTGCTACCGAATCTCTCCACACCCAAGTCTGGCGCTGCGGCGAACGGGGCTAAAGGCGACACTGAGCTCAACTACGCGATGAGTGTCAAGTCCAACGACCAGCTTATGGCGATCTACCTGAGCAGTCTCATCCGAGCGATCACCGCCTTCCACGACCTCATCGAGAACAAGATCCAAAACCGGCAGCAACAGGAGGAGAAGGAGGCAGCCAAGAAGGAGGGCGAGAATGGCGCCAAGGAAGGCGAGAAGAAGGAAGGCAGCCCAGCCAGCGGCGATTCTAAGGAGAGTGGCGGAGACAAGGAAAAGGAAGGGTCCAAGGACAAGAAGAAATAGGCTAGATAGAGCCAAGCCGAGCTATGAATGACTGTAAGAGATTCCGGAGTTGTCCGCTTAGGGCGTGTTGGACTACGGCAGTAAAAGGCAGGCCTCGGATCTTGAAGCGTCCTCTTCGACCGTCTAGGAGTTGCAGGGCTCGCGGGAATATTGCTTACGCCCTGCCGCACAGCGCACCTCCAAAGAACCCCCATTCTTCTCTCAATAATGTTGTTCTTGACCGTCTAAACCCGATTAGACATCCGCGACAATACCTGCCATCTCTTCCTTTCTCACTGTTCTTTCGACCACATAATGACCCAACGCTGCGTCCCATCTCTCAACCAACAAGCACGCCAACAGATGTTTACATACCGGAACCCCTTCCCCAGCCCCAGCCTTTAACCCATCCAGACTCATCCCACCAAACGACCACTCTACTCCCGCCTCTACCTCCACTGAGGCACCGCTCGGCTTGGCTGATGCCCCATGCTCAAAACCCATTTCCCGTTCCCTGCCCTCGCGCCCGTAGGAAGCCGTAACCTCCCCCTGGACAGCAGCGAACGCAAAAGCAGCACAACTGCAATGCCACGCCTCCAGCCGTACAATGTATCCCTTCTCATGGCCCCCCATACTCATCCCCCCCACGCCATTCGCCTCGTCCCCCTCATCGCCATGCTTCCGTCTGCGCCGCCTCTCGCGAGCAGCCTCCACCGCAGCCGCCGACTGCACCAAGTAGAACGCATTCCCAAGCCCCCCTCGCCCCTCACCGTCTGCCCCGGCACGAACC